TCTCGAATGGGAGCAATCAATGTCAGATATTCAGGTTTTTCTTGGCTTCGCTAACTTCTACCGCAAATTCATAATGGATCACTACTCTGACATTGTCCTTCCTCTCATGCATATCACTTGCAAGGATGTTCCCTTCTCTTGGTCTGCTGCTTCCCAACAGGCCTTCGACACACTCAAAGCGGCTTTCAGTTCTGCTCCCGTCTTGATCTATGCTGATCCCTCACAACCTTTCTTCATCAAGGCTAATGCCTCTGACTTTGCCATCGGTGTTGTGTTGTCTCAACTCGGAGTAGATCAGGAATTTCATCTAGTCACTTTCCATTCTCAGAAATTCCAGCCTGTAGAGATCAATTACAAAATCCACAACAAAGAGCTCCTTGCCATCGTAGATTCCTTTGGAGAGTGGTGTCATTTCTTGGAGGGGGCAAACCATCAAACAACAATCTAGACGGATCACAAAAATCTTGAGTACTTTGCCACTTCCCGAGTTTTGAGCCGTCGTCAGGCAAGGTGGGCACAATTCCTAAGTTGGTTTGACTTTGTTATCAAGTATAGACTTGGAAAGCTTCAACGCCTTCCTGATGCTTTTTCAAGGTGCTCCTATCTCAGTCTTAGGCCTGGTAATTCTGCCTTCGATCAACAGGATCAGGTTATCCTCAGCCCTGATCAGCTTCAAGTTATGGCAATTTCCTTGGCCCCTCAGGACTCCTCCTTGATGGATGCAATCAGAAACGATCTTCAATCTGACGACCTCGCCAGTGACATTTTCCCCCATCTTCAGGCTGGACACCCAGTGACTCCTGACTGCCGGCGATTTGACGAGTTTGAGTTCTTAGATGGCTTGTTGTACCGTGGGGAGCAGCTTTACATTTCTGAAGGTGATGCTCGAAAGTTGGTCCTGATGGCGTGCCACGATAACCCAACTGCTGGTCATTTCGGCATTGCGAAAACCTATGAGCTGGTTGCACGGGACTTTTGGTGGCCTCACATGGACGACTACATCAAAGCTTTTGTTACCTCCTGTGACACTTGCGCCAGGAATAAAGTACCTCGCCACCTTCCTTTAGGTTTGCTTCGTTCGCTCCCGATCCCTTTAGATCCTTGGGAATCCATCTCCATGGATTTCTTGAGTGATCTTTCGAGTTCTAGAGGCTTCAACATCATTTTAGTCGTGGTGGATCACTTCACAAAGATGGCACACTTCCTGCTGTGTACCAAGGAGTTTTCCAGCGAGGACATGGCAAAACTGGTATTCAAGGAAATTTTCTGACTTCATGGGATTTCTGTAGATGTTGTTTCGGATCGGGGACCTCAATTCATCTCTCATTTATGGCAATGGTTCTTGCAGCTGCTTGGAGTGAAGGCCAACCTCTCTTCGGCGTATCATCCTCAAACTAATGGACAGTCCGAGCAAATGATTCAGACATTGGAATAATTCCTGAGGTGCTTCATCAATTATCATCAAGATGACTGATTCAATATCCTTCCCCTTGCTGAGTTCTCCTATAACAATTATGTTCACTCCTCCCTTCGAGTTTCCTCCTTCTTTGCGAACTCTGGCCGAAATCCCCGATTCAATCTCTCACTTCCTTCTCCATCCGAATCCCCTCATTCAAATGCCCGCTATGAGGCATTTGTCTCCAACCTCTAGGAAATCCACAACTCCATCTCCTTCCACCTCCATCGTGCTCAGGAATCTTATAAAACATTTGCCAATTTCCATCGTCAGGATTGTCCCCCTTACAATATCAGGGATAAAGTCTAGCTCCTCAGGCGAAATATCTCTACCATCAGGCCATGTCCCAAACTCGATTTCAAATGCCTTGGTCCTTTCCCTATCACTACCATCATTAATCGTGTCACTTATCACCTTGCACTTCCCTCCTCATATCAAATTCACCCCGTTTTTCACTCCTCTCTCCTTGAGCCTTATATTCCCAGTCCTATTCCAAATCGGGTCATTCCTCTGCCTCCACCAGTGCAGCTCAAGGATGGGAGTGAGTACAAGGTTTAGGACATCCTTGATTCCAAGATCTCACAGTCTAAACTTTACTATCTGGTAGATTGGAAGGGTTACGGAGCTAAGGAACGCACTTAGGAACTTGCGGGCAACCTGATTCATTCTCCTGACTTTGTTCAGGACTTCCACCACCCCTATCCTTCTCGTCCCAGTCTTCATTCTTTTTCTTCATCTCCCATCCCTCGCCGCCCATCTCATCCTCCTCTTTGTTCTCATTCACATCCTCGTTCCACTCGTTCTTGAGGAGGGGGTGTTGTCAGGAATTGCCACATTCCTGACTCTCGCCAGATTCCTGACCTGTAGACCACATTCCTGACTCTCGAGACACTTCCCTATTCCTGACTCTCAAGACACTTCTCTATTCCTGACTCTCTGATTTCCTGTATAATTCCTAAGTCTCAAGCCACATTCCTGATGATGATGTGGCACCTCCTCGACCTCAACTATATTTAGGCCATCTTTGATCCAAGAGTGGTGGAGCTTCATCAACCTATAGTATATATAAGTTAGCCTTGTTCCATTTTTCCACAATCTGAATCAACACCAGTCTAAGGCATTTTCTTCATTTCCACTAGCTTTTCTCTTTGTCTTCTACATTTTCTAGTCTTGATCTTATTAGGGGTCTTGACACTAGCTCTTGGAAAGAAAAACCACTAAGTGAATTGATTGAGAGAGACCTTGCATGTATACCTCATGAAAAGGGACAAAAGTAGTGCTTATCTGAAAAATTTCCTTCTCTTCTCACCCTGTTTTGGTACACTTTGGCATTATTTAATGCAACAATGTCTTTTGGGGTTAAAAATACAATTATATTGCATTGAACATATATTAGAAGTTGTAAATAGAAGCTTTGTCACCACTATACCCTTTGCTCATTCAGTGGGAATAGTTTTGCTAGAATATGTGTAGAGCAATATCTATGCCTCTTTGTGAAAGTGTGCACTATATGCCAATTCTATGTGTTTATATGTTTATGAAGGCATTGCATAAATTTGGCATAAAGAACCTAAAGCAAGCCATGAGCATACTAATCATCCCTCATATCAATTAAGCAATAGCACTCCATAGTCAAAATTATCATTTTGAAGTACCAAATCAAATTGCACCACATCTCCCCCTAAAAGTGTTTAATCCACCATAAACACATTGTTATTGATATGTATAGAAAGGGGCATTTCACTTGGTTATGAATTGAGGAACCACAGACTTGGCTCACTCTTATGCTCAAGTTTGAGTTCAAACTGTAGAAATATTGTGTTATTATATTTACATATGTGAGTATAACTTTTGTTTTTCATTGCACACAATCACATTTTAATTTTTATAATAGTGTGCATTATAATATTTGCATAGGACATGCCACATGCATAAACACTTCATGCCACACGTGCAACCATGTCATCTCCTTTTTTTTGACAATAGGATCATACATTCCAACTCATCTAGCATGCCATACAGCTCTATAATCTCTATCAATTCGCTAATATGCTCATCTAGTCTCTTTTGGGATTCTACTCCCGTAGAACAAACTTTTGTTCTTGGTGAAGAGTTTGAGCATCATATTGCAATATGTGTGGTATTTGTGATTTTCTGTTCTGAGGTAGAGATTTGCCAGACTCTAGATCAACACCCAACTGCATGTAACTGCTGAAGATCACAAAGTGTGTGCTCAATGCATCAAAGGCCTTCATCGAGCACAGCAATGGTGTGGTATACTTGACAATGGACAATAGCGAGCACATGGTGGCTCATGGCTAATGCTTCTCACAATTAACATCTATCATGCCTAGTTTAGCTGTGCTAGAATGGAAGTGATGTAGTGAGCACATCTAAATACATACATTCTTGCCATTCTTGCTAAACTTTAGTGACAAAAAAGATGTTGATGTGGTAAATAGACTTACATGGATTAAGAACTCATATATGGCAATGCATGCCAATATATATATGCCATGAAAAAAAACATGGCATCCAAAAGATTATTTGTGAGTCATATATATGTTTTATAATTGTGTTTTAAATTCATAGATTTTGCAGCTTAATACATTCTTTTTGCCCCTAGGAGGTGTACCTTCCCCCAAAACCTGCATAAATTACTTGCCATAATAAACCCTGACTATGAAAATATTAAATCCTTTGGCAAAATAGTTTTTTATTAGAAAAAAATCAAAAGAAGATTTAAACCAATCTCCCCACAAAATGATGCCAAGCAATCTTGTCCTATGCAACTCTTAAGAGAGGTATGCTGCTCTGCTCCAGTATCCATGCTTTCCACCAAGAAAGTTTCTTTGTGTGCAATAGTAATAGTGATATCTAGAAGCCATCATTCAAGTTTTGCCGATAATAAATTCCCACATTTTTGGTTTGCTTAAGCAAACCTAGGGATGGTAGTGGATATACCTAGAATATACTTGGATATTCTAGAATATTCTACCATTTAACGGTTGTTATTCATTTAGATTAATCTTGTATTTATAATTTATAAACTTCCTTAAACCTTTTCTAGTATATTTTTTTTTATTCTACCATCTAATGGTTGATATGCAATAAAATTAATCTTGTATATATAAATTACAAACATGCTTATAATTATAAACTTTATTTGATCAATTGGATTAATATGTCATAATAACACTAGTGTTAAGCAAACCAAGCGTTGCTACATGCAACGCGAAGCAATTTATTCTTGCTTGAGAAGAGCCAAGGTCAAAATTTAGCAAAGAAGGAAGAAAAAGATTATTATATTATCTTATAATCACCTAAAGAAGCTTGGAATTGGACATGACTAGTAACATTACTGCAGGTCTATGTGTTTTATTGTTGTAGAATAGATCTCATGTTTCTTGCAAAGTTTACAATTCAAGTTTTTTAGAGCGGCCAGATCCTCTTAGAACCTGGACGAAATTCGCCAAAGAAAGCTTCTCTAGACATGTCCAATTCCAAGCTTCTCTAGACGACTTGTCTAGAACAAAAGAACAAACTATTGTGTCTTCTCCAACTTCTTCACTGATTCCAGGAGGAGCTGGTTCCACATATCCACAGCCCCTGGCAAGCACCAGTGCAAGCAATCATTTCGGATGTAGCGGCTGATCTCTCCTGCATATGGCGGGTGTGTTCTGTATGGCCCGGGGTGGCCGTCTGGCCGGAGGAAGGTGCTGTACGTCACGTCCAGCACCCGCAGCCTGGAGCCATTGGATGGGTCGAACTTCCGTGCCTCGTCGCGCTGCACACGGTTGAGATTGCTCGGCAGCCACGGCAGCTCCACCTCACCGACGCCACCGCGTATGGCATCGCGTCAGAGTGCGTTGGCCGCGTACGGTTGCACGTCCCGCCGTTGCTCCACGTCCCGTGCTCGAAGTGGTCCGGAGACGCAGTACGGAGGAACGTGGTCCCATTGTAGCCGTCCAGCGTGGCGATGGAGCGGAGGGACGTACGGAATGCGAGCTCCAGCGCCGTGAGGAAGTGTACGTCAGTGTAGTTTACATGCGAGTACTTGTTGCAGCCCTCTCCACCTTTTTTATGTGACCACATTGAGACAAATTTGAATCGAGATTTGAGGAACTCACCGGGGAAAGGGAGCAAAGAAGCGACTGCATGTGGTTCCTGGCGAGCGAGTCCCCAAAGAAGAGCATACTTTTGGCCCGCATGAGCTCGAGAAAGGTGGCGGGGTCGAAAAGTGGGAGCTCACAGTTGTGAGGCCGCCATCGCCAATGCAGGTAGCCCGTGTCAGGCCTCCCATTTCCCAGGCAGTTCTGGAGAAGCTGGATTTGATCGCAGGTGGAATTTGTATAGAGCGGTGGTGTCGAGTCGAAAATCCACTCGCCCTTGCTCAAATCGCAGGTATCTGTAGCATTTTAGTATCCCTGAAACTTTGTTTCAAATCCAAATTACCTGAATTTGAGGAGGAGTTTTGGAGATCTGGGAGAATTGGAGCAACCGGGGAATTCTGGCTGCCACGGACGAAGAAAACGTAGGTGAGGCAGCTGTTGAGCAGGACGACAATTGGCAGCCAGAATCGGATATTGTTGTTGTTGTAGTAGAACCACAAGAAGCTTCCAGTCTCCGAGGAGACCGATTGATCATGAGCAGAAGAATTGTTGCTGGCGGCCTTCGCAGAGGGTGAACTCCCAGATCCCTGGAGCAGCATTGTCATCTTGGATTCAAACACAGAACAGCAGCAGCAGCATGATTATGATCAGGAAGGCTGGTTGTGGCAGAGGAATTGGAATTGGACATAGGAAGAAATGCTATCTCCATCAATGGTGTGAGAGAAAGAAGAAAAGCGAGCAACTACATCTTGTTAGGAGGACATGATTCTCTTGCAGAGGGGAGTTAGAACAATGAATCAACTAATAGTGCCATTGTACTTCCTGTTCTAAAACTCATTTTAAGCTTTTGTCATAAAGGTTGAACTGAAGAATGTTCAGCAGGGTGTTTTGGGCCAGGATGATCAAAGCACACTCTTATCAGCTGTGCGTTCGTAGAGGAAAATATTGAAAAGCTGTCGTGGCCGTTTTAAAAAACTTGAATCATGAGACCCATGAGCATCAAAACAAGCTTATCGATCGTGGTTAAGAAACTTGATCGTTCACAGATGGTTTGACTTGTTCGTATGACTGAGATGTTTGGTTGTTTAATGTTGTATGAAATGTTTGGTTTACCCAATGAAAGCTCAGGCAAACAAACATAGTCCATTTATATTTCATGTTCATTCATTCAGCATCAGGGCTTTTGGGTTAATTTATATGCATAATTTTTTCTTTCCATATTTCATGCACACACAAGCCTACTTATATTGGAGATATTGGGCCCACCCAAGAAATATGAGACTGATGCATTCAAGCCAACCCTTGATTGTCTTAGATGGAGTGGCAATGTGGCAAACATAACTGTAGAGTTGGCTTGTAATCCTGCATAGTTCTGGCCGGACAGATTTTCTGATCAGGTTTTGGCGCTTCTGTGCATACAATTTTATTATCTTCTCACGTCATCTGTGATGTCCGCGAGAGTTCTAAGAGTGGAGCCAGACGCGATCACGGAGCCTCTGAGCTCCAACTCCGTAGAACTCGTCCACTTTGTCACCGTTGGAGTAGAACCGGAATGTGGGGGTGTAGCGCACGTCTTTGGTTTCGTCCGGGCACTCGTCTATGTCTGCGTAGATGAACAGCGATCGCGGGTATTCGTTGCTAAGATTGCAAAACGTCGGGAGCATTTGTTTACACATAACACACCTGGATGCATCGAGAGAAGAAAAAGAAATACATCAGCAAAGAAACCAAGAATGGTAAATCGTTACCATGATGCTCCAAAGCTCACGATCGTCTATCAGTGTATCAAAGCCAGATAGCAAAGAGAGCGAGAGAAATAAAAAAAAACTCATATAAGGGAAGAGGAATCTCTTTGAAGTACAGGCTCACCGTCTTCTTTGACGCCTTGGCCCGATCCAACAGCGACTTAAACTGTTCGTTGTTGCGTGCACTAACGAGATTCCCATGAAAGTTTACCGGTAAAGAATCGCCTCCAACACCATCCAGGGACGATGGCGCAGCAGCAGCACCGCTACCTTCTGCAGCAGCCATTACAACCCTAGAGCGAGAAATGAGATAAAAGAAAACGGAGAAGAAGTACCGGTTATCTATAAGAGGTCCTCGAAGTCAAAAGTTGACGCTGGATTTCTCGGCTGAGCATTTGGAGGTGGAGTAGAAGCTTCAGGAGCGCTATCGAGGTCAGCAAACGGATTGCCAGCTGTAAACTGTTCGCCGCTCGAGCTTGGATTGGAGACTAGAGCTTCGGCTGAAGTGTCGGGCCCGAGAAGATCAATACTGTCTGGGGCTCCAGTGTTTTCCTGTCTGTAGTTCGAAGCAGGAATATGAACAGCAGCTGAGGAGAGAGGTTCTTGAAGAGAAACTGGTGCAGCATTGGATGATGACGCGGAAGGCTTTGCTAAGGCTGCAAAATCACTGGGAGCGAAGAGATCAGCAAGAGGATCATTAAGCACCGCGGGGACGTTCATAGGTGGCAAGGGATTGGAGCTCGAAAGATTTTGACCAGCCATCATGGCCAGAGTTGTGAAACTGCGAGAAAGAGGAAGAGGTTTCTGAGCGAAGCCTGTGGAAACTGTGGGAAACGCTTGCAGATTGGAAGAACTCATTGCAGTGATGGGAGGGGCGGAGAGTATCGGTGCTGGAACTGACTGAACTGGCTGTAAAACGGGCGGGACTGGAACCATAGCTGTTTGAACAGGAGAAGTAGACGTTGGCAAAGTCACAGGCAGTTGCTCTTTGAGAAACTCCTTGAGTCTGGACAAACAAATGAGAAAATCAAGCTACGTGCTGCTTAGAGTATCAAGCTTACTCTAGTGCTAAGCGTGAATTCGGCGACGCGACTGTCAAGCGTAACTGCGTCTTATCAGCCGGATCTGTTTCGATGCGTACCTGGGAAAACGGAACCTGTTTAGCTCTGGAATGAGTACGTAATGGTATGAACTTACCATGCACAGCAAAGCACCACCAGTTTCTGAATGAAAACTCGAGGCTGCAACGAGGTTATTGGGATTGGGTTCCTGGAAGATAACTTTGTCTACGTGTTTTGCATCTATAAAACAGATTTGGCTTACCAGTCCAGTAGCCACGCCTATGCGAAGTCCGTTTAGCTTGTCAGAAAACTCCGAGACAGTAGAATACTGCAGTCCACGAATCTGTAAAGAGATTCATAGAAGTCAGAAGAAAACGATGGAAAAGGATCATATACCACTTCTTGAAGCTTGTTTGGAGCTGTAACAAGAGCTCTCCAGGCAGAAAAAAAATCGTTTGCAGAGAGAGTGGCTGGTTGCAAAAACTTGCTGATTACAATTGGAATCCGCAATTTGACAGACACCTAGAAGAGTTCTGCGGACGTTAGCACTAAATAAAACACGGGAAAGCTTAGCTTACCGTCATGCCAGAAACCATATACGAAAAGTCGAGAAGTGGAGCAATTCTCCCGGCATACAAGCATGCCACGTTAAGAAGCACTTGTATCTGCAACGGCGATCATGAAGAAATTAGAAGTCTTATCAACGACATTACTACCTGTTCAGCAGCTTGTATGCTTGGAGGAGCTCCCGGAAATTCAACTCTAAGATGTGGCTGAGGTAGGATAATGGCTCGGACTGATGTCAAAGTCTTGCTTTGCTTATTACCAAGATAGAAATTTATCTCGCCACGAGAACCTTGATATTGCGCTTTAATCCCAATCTAAGCACCCAAGAAAAATCACAAATTGCAAGCTCAAACAATGCCAGAAACCTGAACGTATGGGTCTTCATACAAGATTCCCGTATTCTTGTAACACAAGGCGTTAAACCATTCGATGAGGTTTCCAGTTGGCTGCAAAAACCAAAAGAAACAAAGAACAAGTTACCGCAAGGATTATAAAAACTCCATTACCTGAACAGCAGGAGCGAGCATTGAAGAGAATGGATCTTTTGTAATTCCCGTTTGAAATGGGTCGTTTTGTCTAGGAGCCACTAAGTCCCCAAGAAGATCTACTTCAGGTGCTCTAGCTGTTGAGGTCTGGATGGAATATAGACAAGAAAAATGTTACTGACGATGAGGAAATCAAAATAACGTACTCCAGGCAGAGAATCCCTTGAGCTTTTTACCGGAGCTTCCTGCAAAAGCACTTCAGACTGCGTAGAATCGTCACTTGTAAGAACGAACCTGTCGCTTTGGTTCTTCATTAGAAATATACTGATCCTGCTGGCTTAAAGAGAAAAATCCCATAGCACGTTGTTGCAAGTCTGCTTCAAGGTGCTCCCCATACCTGTAGTGAATGCTAGTATGAGGGGAGGAAAGAACAAGGATAGCTCACTTTTCAAAAAGAGGAAAAATTTCCTTCCGGAGCTCTTCATCTGCAGGCTGTGTATGCAGTAACAATTTGATATAGGAAGACAGCAGCACCATCTTGGTTGGCGTACTGTTTGGAAACATAATCAAACTCATTAAAGTTCAGTGGAGCACACATCCTACCTCACATTTGAAAACTTATCGTGAAGGGCCCAAAAGATCTCCTTGGGAGTGTAGCCAGGTTTTCGCGCAAGTAAATGGCTGTTGTCTCCAAGAAGACTCCCAGCAATCTGACAAAAAAAAATCATTACTGAGTTGTCGTTGGGAAATCAGAAAAACTTACTTTAAGCATGGTCTCGTGAACCATCGGTTTGCTGATGTACTCCCGAGCTTTGGTGGCGGCGTAGACTTGTATATCGTCATGTTCTGCAACGCATTGAATCAACCCTCGCCAGACATCATCCGGAACAAGGGCTCCACCTTTTTCAACTAGAAGCAAAACAACGTCCACATACCTGACACACACCACATAACAAAACCACATTTCACTCTGAACCAGCACTAGCTTGTGCTTACCAGGAGCAATCTGTTGCGTATTTTTCTGCAAGAAGGCCAGCCTTTGTTGCAATACTTTCTTGAACATCAAACTCGGCCGTAGAGAAACACTACATACAAGTCACCGTTTGATTTCAAAATCAAAACAAACAAAACCAAATACCTCCAGAAACTCTTCAACAATACGCTTGACATTCGTCGCATCACATATTTCGTAAAGAAGGTCTACAGAGACCTTCTGGATACTGTCAAATGGGTTACTTATCACTAGGAAACCCGGAAAACAAACAAACCAACCTTCGGTCTTGATCTCTCAAGGAGAATAGAATGTCAGTTTCATACACACTAACATTATCACGGACGTCGGCCACAGACAGCAGCCGAGCTAAAACTCTCTACAATGAACAACGTTAGTAGTATATAATGAGTACATCAAAGCACATTACCATGCCTAGACATCGAAGGTTCGGTTCACGAAGACTAACAAATTTCGAAAGCGATACCATACACCTTGGGATCAAACTCTGCTGTGTATCAATCAGCATAATCTGTGACAAGGGTGCTGTAGTATCGTTAGCAAAGCCAGACTAAAACTAGCAAGTAACTTACCAGTTCCATGGCTTCAAACAAAGCCGCGTGCATAACATTTGTTCTGTTTATACTTTGAGTGATGTCGGTCCCAATCACAAGACGCTCGAGAAGCTGATAGAAAAAACGATGGTCATATAAAGGCTAACGAGAAGAAAAAAGAGAGGGAGAGAGAAAGAAGACAACCTCGAGAAGCAGCCGCACACTAGAGGGGTCTTCAAGCAATGGAAGCAGTTGCAATGCTTGCATCGTCTTCACCTGAAAGTGAACTATTAGCACTTGAATTTGCTGAAGCTGCAGTTAAGCTAGAAACCTGCAGCCAGGGAGACGGGATTCCATAGAACGTGTAGTCCTGTGGAATGCTTTGACTTCGCAACAATCTTTCTAGAATGCGAACACACTTTGAGACACAGTAGTAATACTGCTGAGGATTATTTGAAGATAGTGCAACAAGCAATGTCATCACACATAAAAGAACACCATAATCTCTTTCGTCAAGAAGATTCACAATGTGGTCAGGCCTACAGACCGATCAAGCCAGTTTCAAGCAATGCAAGTTGATGCTGCAAACTAGGATAAGTTCCTTACCATATATCCAGTTGGATAACCTCCGGATGGTTTCGGTAAATGTGAAGGAGACAGAGAATCGCCTTCTTCCGCACAAGTGGTCGACAAGAACCAGAAACCTGGAAAAGAAATAGCGCCTTCCATTGTCAATTCGAGAGGAGCAGTAATGGAGCTACTTACGACAAGCTTTTGTACATCCGGAGCTAAGGCTTCGGCAAAATCTCTGCCGCCGATGTTTCCAATCTGTGATCATGCACGAGAGAGTTTTCTTCTTTTCTCTTTGGTGTATAGCTTTCGATTGATCTTACCATTGTTAGTGCAAGGCACTGATACGTTTCGCTGCGACCAATAATGTCGAGACGAATAGCTTTGGTGATCAAGTTGAGAAACTCATGGTTTTCGTGGAGCAAACATCCAGCAACCATGTAGCCAACCTGCGAGCATTCTTCTTTAGCTATAAGCAGTGAAGCGAGAGAGAGAGAGAGAGAGAGAGAGAGAACTTACTTGCTTCTCAGCATATTTATGCGATCCAACAAGCGAAAGAACCTCTCGATGCCCAAAATCAAGCTGATAGCCAAGAATGTGGATGTAGAGCAGCTTCCACACGTATTTCTTCTTCTCATACGACGATAAACTCTGAAATTTGCGCACAGTTCCATCGAAACGTAAAAAAAGAGAGAGAGATTTGCTACCTTCTCGTATGAGAATTTCATCCGGATCTTATTGAGCTCCTTCTCGACGCGCGCCATCTCCTGATCCTTGCTCTGGCAGTTCCTCACATCCGTGATAAACATCTGCAAGCCCCGCATTGACGCCATCGCCATGGGTGACCTAACGTCCGTATACCATTGCCGTACCAAGTTCTAATTTTTAGGGTTCTTGACATTGCTCTAGAGAATGTAGCTTTAGATTCAAGCCATGGCCAGTTCCAAAGCGCTCGTTCTCTCCTGGTTCGTTGTCTCTGTTCCACTGCTCGTGATCTTCCTGCTGTTCCCTCACACCGCCACCATCTTGTGCCCATCGATCTCCTTCTCTCCGCAGCAGCAGCAAGCTCTCGAATCTCGCGAAGAGGACGCTGTGGGTGTGAGTCGCGAGGATTTGACATGGGTTTCGTCGCAGATGGCAAATGCCCAGCTCGGGGATCCTCCAAAGTCGGCCGAGGACTGGATCCAGATGCGCAAAGGGATAAATCCCCGGACGAGAGAGGAGCAACTCTATGATCTTCGCCGGTAAGGTCGAGTGATCTCTATAGCAAGCTTGAGTTGCGAGCTGGCGTTTCCTTCCTACAGGTACCACGGGATATCTCATTACGAAGAAAGCGAAGAGAAAAACCACACGAGATTACCTTGTCCGAGCGAGCTTCTCGTCGAGCAGCACCACAGCAACTATGGCGAGCCTTGGGCTGGAGGTCGAGACGTCTTTGAGTTCATCGCAAAGGCCTCGGCTCTCAAGAGACACCACCGGGTGTTGGAAGTTGGCTGTGGAACTCTGCGCGTTGGCCTCCATTTCATCAGATTTCTCGCGGCCGGGAACTACCACTGCATCGAAAAGGATCCGCTCTCGCTCATGGCTGCGTTTTCTTACGAGTTGCCATCGCAGGGACTGCTTCACAAGAGACCCGTCATCGTTCGCAGCGATAATCTGGAATTCGAGCTGTTAGGAGACAATGAATACGATGTAGTCTATGCAAGCGCAGCGTTTCTTCACATGCCTGATAAACTCGTCTGGACTGGTCTCGAGAAGCTCGTGCCGAGGATCAAGCCGGGTGGAAGAGTTTTCGTGTCTCACAACATTAAGTTTTGCAGCAGGCTCGGAGGAGACGAGTGTAACAAAAAGCTGCGAGAGCTGAAGCTGGAGTACGTTGGCAAGCAGACACACGATAGTCTCTTGTTCAATCACTATGAGATCTGGCACCAGTTCGTCAAGGTGTGATTCATTTTTTGTCTGTACCCTGTATTTAAACCATGGATGAGTAAACTGTCGTTAATTTTTCGTGAGGTTTCTACCTGGTTATTGTCCTCTAGCTTGAGAGCACTGAGAAAAAAACCTGTGAGATATGGAGGCTGCAACAAAAAACACAAAAATAATTCTTTGTGGCGTTGAAATACTTATTTACCTCTGGGAAGCCAACTCTAAAATGGTAGACGAGCTCGTTTTTGCCTTGCCTTAAAGCTCCACCCTGCTTTCTCATACACGCTTCGCACTGCGGGTAGAACCGTTGCAACTCGAGCTTATGGACCATGTTGAATACATGCTTGGCAAGTGAAAAGTTGAATTTTTTCAGTATTCTCAGTTTCTCGGCGACCTTGTTCTTCATTACGACGTTGGGTGGCATATGATCTGCTATGCTAAGAAAATAATTCACGAGTGAATGTCAGCTCCAGGGAAATTGAGAGTACCTGGTCCCTTTGTAGCTTCCACAGTGATGACAACCATACTTGCTAAACAAGTCTCTTACGAGCTGTGCTTCTACATCGCCTGCGTACCTTGATCCTCTAGCTGACCAAAGAATAATCAGCACGAGAGGGACAGAGAGAAAAAATCAAAGGAGGCAAACTGACCAGGCACTGAGTATCGTGAGAGTGCTCCAGGATGACTTAAGCTACTTGGCATCACATTCCTGTAGTGCCCGCCAAGTATCTGTATGAACAGTAGGCTACATTGTCTAGTCTATGAAAATTTCCAAGCAAACCTTAAACAAAACCATGCCCACTGCCGCATGAAGAACTAGATCGCCAACACTCGGCATTTTCCTCTTCCGGCTCTTGCCATTGCCCTCTTCTACAATAGATTCCAGCGCAAACGCTACCTGCGTTGCAATGAGAGCTCTAAGAATCAAAGAAATCTATGACTGAAATTGATTAACGAGAACCTGAGCTGCGAGAACCGAGGCCGATGCCACCGCCACGCCTCCCAGCAGCGATCCGGCAACAGGGGTAGCGCAAGAAACCCGGAATGCCTTCCCTGCACACTAGAAATCCGCAAGAAATCCCCGATAAATTTCCCGATTCACAGCTCGCAGCAGCGATCGCACCTGCCATGCTAGCAATGCCGCATTGAATCCCGCGGCAGCGCCGGCGCAAGGAATCGCCACCCCGAGAAGGCGCTCTACCGGTGGGAGGAGCCCTAGAATCATCAAACCCGGAAAGAATCTTTCTATTGCTATAAAAGAATCTTGGCAAGGACAAGGAGGACAAGCAAATGCCAACAAGAAAACGTGGCCTTCCACGAGCTCGAACTCTGGACGTTTGAGTCCGTACCGGCGGTCGAGCCCGGCACGAAGTTTGGATTGGCTCCGTACAGCGCCTGTGCGCCGTCGATATCGTCCTGTCCAAACGCTGTCTTGATCTGCCGAGGAGCGATGCTGGGAAACATGATCGCCGCGGAATCGCCCGAGTGGCCCAGCCCGATCAGGTGTCCAATCTCGTGGGTCACCACGGATTCCAGATCGATCGCGGCCAGCGACGTCGCGGATCGAACATTGACGCTCCAGGACTCGGAGGAGTCGAGGTGGAATCGCCCATCCTCGGGCGCGAATGCGTGAGCTAGAACGCCCATTTGCCCATCGAATGGATGCCGGTCGCCGTGATCGAAGCCCGCGAAGGCGATGACGATGTCCGCGGAGGAGATCGACGAGGTCTCTGTGAATGTGAGAGGGACGATGTTCGCCCAGCGCTGGAATCCCCTGCTAAAGGCCGTCCGGAGAGAAGTGAGGGGGATTCCAGAGGCCAGCGACGTCGTGGATTGATCGAATGCGTATGTGAGCGATCGCTTGGAGACCCATCTGGGCGTTCCTGGGAAGAAGGAGTAGTGCTTGACGAAATGGGAAGTGCCGGGATGGGTGAGATTCTGGAGCATTTGCGAGACGCCGCTGGGATCCACGTCGATTCCACCGCATCTGGGCGTGACGAGCTGGGCGATTGTGGCGGAATCGAGGTTCCCGGTGACCGGGAGGCGGAAATTCTGCTGGTAGAGCCTCACGGCGGCCTCTAGCGCGTCATCGAAGGAGAGATCGGCAGTGAGAGTGGAGTTGCCGAGGTAGCCGAAATCCACGAAGTAAGATTTGAGCTTCTGGATCGCGGGCTTGGAATCGCCCTTGTGTGCGTCGACGAGCGAGAGGAGATCCGCCCACGCCCCGGCAAGATTGCTGGTGGGCAGATCGGCTAGAATAGCGGTGTCGAGCCCCGAGGAGAAGCCCACGATGATTGCGAAGTGGAAGAATGCGAGGAAAAACAGTCGATTTGCCATGGTTCTTCTTCTTTCCAGGAAGATTAGGGATTGAGAGATTTAAGCAGTGCCCGGGGGGTCAGACTTTGCCTCGCGTCGTGTCTAGTGTCCGGCATTGACAAGATCAAGGAGTTAGAAGCGCGTGAAACCAAGACCTTGTCAATGCCCCTGTATAAGCCCTAAACTACAGAATATACTTAAAACCCTTACGTGTGATGGAATGCGAATTGTTGATTGTGACTAACTTAGTAAAAGGCTTTTTGCCAAGCACTTTAATAGTTGCCAAGCACTTAATAGTTGCTGGATATTTTTCCGGAGGGGAGTTTTCATTTGCATCCATTGCATTGTGGTCTCATGCCTCGGCAAATGTGAAAACTTCTTGCAAGGATGTGAGGAATGATCACAAATCCCGAGCACATAGTTTATGTCGTATTGTTTAATGTCGTTTACTTTGTAGCGTGAGGACATGTCATTCTTGTCTCAACTTCAAAGAAATGGGAAGCTAATTAGATATACTAGCTGCAGCTCAGCAGTTGGCCAAATGGCAGATATTTGCACTGAGACTCACTAATCCACATCATATAACATGTGTCAGAAATTGCAGGATGGTAAAAACTGTGAACTCTGTGTGTCAAACAAGGTTGCACACAATGTGTCAGCAGGACAACAAAACTGCTGTGGGACTAAACAACATAGCATTTCCAAATTGAACTCGGGTCTGTTTTGTGGCAGGGAGCTATTCCACTAGACTAGCAGTGCTTTATATGTTAATCAACTAGAATACGCTCGAATATACCTGTATGTAGTCATTCTTGGATGTCAAGAATTCACTGAAAGGGTGCAAACATATATATATCTAACACATTCATATATATCTTGATTGACTCATACATGTCCAAAGCTTCGTCGATAGTCAATATAAGAACAGTGCAGCTCACATCTCAAGCAACATCCAGTCCTGGAGACAAAAAAGAAGATCCAGCTTATATGGTCAGACTCTTGAACTACAGTCCTCACACAAATCAGAGTCTGGATCTCGAAATGGTTTCTTCTCGGAGCAAGCTTGCAATGACACTGCCTCAAGGGGAATAGTTAAAGTTTTTGCTAACAATCTTCCATGACTTCTTGATTTGTCCACCGTTTTGGAAATCATTTCTGGGTAGCTCTTCTTGGAGTAAGTCTTGCTACAGACATAGACTCTACATTTCTGGAAGCCAAATACAAGGTTCGTTATGCTATCCATCAAGTGGACACATAAGATTTTCATATTTTAATTCAGTGTTAAGTGCCATGTAAATTTAGATTGGAAACAAATATACAAATCCAATGGAAGTTTTGGTTCATAAGTTTTAAGAATTAATTTTTAATATAGCAAATAAAACATGATTATATGCATTATAATATTGGCAAGACATTTGATGCCACGTGTTATTGTTATTTATTGTCACTACCTCCCATGCAAGTATGTGAACTAATTTTTTTAACAATCCAATGTACAAAACATGCAAAGCACGAAACAAGCCTGATCAGGTGATGCCATCCACCCTCATGAGCCTCCCCAAACTTCCCAAGAACATAGTAGAGAATCCCTATGTTACTATGTTGCTTTCAGATGCTATGTTGATTGTTCAATCGTGTCAAACATGCTACTCAACAGCTAGAGCCCAGCACGTCATACAATGCTTCAATCTGCTGATAATCTCATCGAAGGCCTGCCTCCTACTACTGCTGCAATTCTACTCCCTCCTCATTCTTGTGCACTCCACAATGTCAGGAGCCCTAATCAAGCAGCAATAGTATTGCCAAATTAGTCGACAGCAGCCAGCAAGTGGACACTTGCCTGATTGAATTGCTGCTTGATTTCTCGTAGAGCACGTAGGCCAGCAAGAGTTCCCTTTAGGGCCAGCAAGATTTCTTCTCACTTACTCACTGACTTGGATTTTGCATGAGCTGGTGCATTATGAATTCTTACCTGATGAGGATGTGTATAAAATAATGCAAATGTGGCAAGCATGCCCATGGCTTGAAAAAAACAGTCGCGTTTAAAGATATGTGTTTAAGCAATTTAAACTCAGGTCAAAACATGTTATCACATTTTATGCCATTTTATATGCATTGCATATATATTACATAATAAAAATTTAGCCACAAAAATCATTTCACACTATACAGCACTATGTACTAGTGGCTACATTTTATGAATATGTATAAGTATTAAAGAATAAGGAGAAATATAATATGTTCTGATTAAGTTTTATAAAATTTGGAGAAGGTATACCTCCCAAAAGGAGAGATGCATCTAGGGTGAGTCGCAAAGTAGAGCAATTGTTAAACAAAATGGTTTTAAGTGGTTGTAAAGAGACTTAGAACAAAATCTTTTTTGGGAAGTGGTTGCTACTTTAATTTATAAAATGTTAATAAACTCTCAGAATGTTAAAAGTTATATTATATACTTAGAAAAAATTATGATTTTTTGAAAATTTATAGTATGGAAATCCAAAATTTGGATAGTTAAAAAAAAAAATGTATATAATACTCAATGTTAAAAAAAATTGTAAATAATAGTTGAGCTCTAATCATATTTCTTACAAATTATTATTTCTAATATAATTAAAAAATAAATAATATGATAAAATTTTCTAAGTAATAAATAAATTATTTATACAGAAAATAAATTATGATGCTGATTTTTGCATAAGTGATGATATTGTGTCATTTACAAGTTTGATAATTACTTAATTAAAATATTAAATTAAATAAACTACAAAATACATGTATTATATTAATATTACACTTTATAGTGTAAATATGTTTCATTTGAGTGTACATATGTTTTTTAATGTTGTTATAAATTTTGAAATATTAATTCTCTTCCACCAAAAAATAAATAAAAAATAATTTCATTATATTAAATTCTTAAATTTAATGTGTTATAAATATTAATTAGTTTATACTAGAATTTTAACAAAATATTATATTATAAATTATTTATTCTTTAAAAGAAGGTATTTATGAAATGTTATGTGGGAATTTCCTTCAATAAAATTTAGGTTATTATCCAATATTAGTAAAGAAGTGAAGAAAGTAAAAATCAAATAAAACTTATGAATTTAGTTAATATTTAATTTGAAATTTAAACTTTAAAATCAATAAACAAGCTATTAACTTAATGAGAATTACTGTGAGTGTCTTCCTTTAAACTAGACCTATTTTTATTATTTTATATATAATACATTAAAAATATTTGTAAGATTTAGAATTTTAAAATTAAAGTTAAAATTAAAATAAAAAATGTATTTTATACATAATAAAAAAGGAATTTAGCTAAAAAATATTGAGGAAAAATATTACATAATCAAATAGATTTTTCAGCCAAAGATAAAAGAATATATTTCTTTTATAATGAGTTATGGAAGTGATGATGGTGATTTTGTGTGGTGGGAACCTGACTATTAAGACCATCACAGATGGTGGTGCTCCCTTAGGTTTTGGGGGAATGCTTCCTGTGCCAATTGAAATAGGTGCAACTTCAAATGTCCACATTAAAACAGATTCGAACAGATTCTTTTGTTTCCATCAAAGATTATTAACAACAGGTTTTATTCATTTCAGATGCTGAGCGAGCAGTTGTACCCACTGGTGGACATAGAACATGACCACGCATGGCCAACGTGATTGGCATGCTTTCCAAACAGAGGTTTTACATCTGATCGAGTGACCCGAGGCTCTGAAGACCATGGCCATGGAAGTGTTGAGGAAGGCCAAACTTTTTCAATGAGGCCTTTGCTAGCTTTAGTTGAAGGATTCTATTGTTTAATTCGTCCATGTTCTGCTAGCCATAGTGAAGCTTTGCAACTTTGAGAAGATACTCCAACAGGATGGCAGGCTTGCTGAAGAATGGGCTGTGATCGGAATGAACATGAAAAACCCATTCCGGTGGATTGTACTCGATCATCAAATGGTGAAATCAGCTTGTCTTGTGTTGTCTTCACGAAGTACCTCGGAATTGATACATACTTCTCCTGTGAGAGCTCAGCAACTGTGGTGCTTGAAAAGTGGGCGAGGTTTCAACAGCAACTTTGCTAAAACTACATCTTTGGATGGAGAAAGGTGGTAGAGCACGTCTTCTACTACGTAGAGCTTGAATGCCACAGCAACAGGGGTCTTTGATCCATTGTTGTAGTACACTTTGCTGTTCTGTACTGCCATGTTGTTAGTAATAACCTGTAAGTTGACAGCAATTGAACACTTATAAGCATTCCACTTTGCTGCTCCTCTTGATGTATTTGTAGAACAGCTTTGGCAAAAAAGAAGAGAAATGAAATCAAGCAAGAGTTTTATATGAATTTAACAATATCAAAACAATATACCTGGTTGTAAACAAAAGTTCCGTTGGAGCTTCTTTGAAACATATTTGCAGCCACAAACATAGCAGCTGCAATTTGGTGAGGGTCCTTTCCATCACATAGGTGAGACTGTCACCTCCGAGACTGTGACCAACCAAGATGATCTGCAGTAACAGCAAGTACTTGTTTTGGGTGAAGACCAGCAATAAAACATAAATATCAGGTTTGCGATGTCAGTTACCTTGTGGCCACGCGGCACCGATCGGAGCAGCTGGAGTAGCGGGCCGAAGTATTACTCCAGGCTGGTCACAGACCGGGGATCAACTCCGTTGATCCCCGCTGGTCAAGTCAACGGCGCTGACCATGTGGCCTCGCTTCTGTAGTTGATCGTACCAGCACCAAGCGCCGTGGCCTGCTCTATGAACAAGAACAAAATGGAAACTGGCATTCTGCTGCTGACTTGCTGTTTGGATTGTTGAAGCTGTGGAAGTACCAATTAGAATGCCGCAGTTGCAGAAGAATGATCCGAACAATCCAAAGAGTAGCAGCAGCAACACTGTAGCCTGATGCATCTCCTTAGTGCACTCAACAAGATTCTCACCAAATTGGAAAAACTAAGCAAGCTGCTGCTTACCCTTGAATCAAAGGGCAAGCATATATTTTATAAAAGAGGAATATATTTAAAATATCCTCAGATATTTTAGGATATTTTACCATTTAAAGGTTGTTATTCATTTAAATTAATCTTGTATTTATAATGTATAAACATGTTTATAATTTCACCATTTCAA